CTTCCCCCCTCCCCTGGGGGCAGCCTGGGACCTGTCTCCCCCCTCCTCCCCTCGCTTCTCCCCTCCCCTGGGGGCAGCCTGTGGCCCATCCTCATGCCCACGGAGAGCAGGGCGAGAACAAGTGTACCGAGAGCCAGTGAGCAGCCAAACACACAGTCAGGCTTCCTTCAGGCCTCACCTGCCCACTCTTTCCCCGGCCCATGGTGGCTGAGAACAAGAAGGAGGGCCTGTCTCTGTCCTGCTCTGAGTCCCCAGCCCCCCATCTTCCCTTGCTCACCTCATGCCTTTCTCTCCTGGTAGAAGGTGCTTCCTAGAGCCCAGCTCCTGTCAGAGCAAGAAGCCCAGCTGGGGCCCTAGGGCTCAGCCACAGCTAGCCCTGGATTGGAGGGGCCAGGAGAGATTAAGGCTCGGGCAAGGCTGAATCACAGAGACATCTCTCCTATTTCTCCTCAGGAAGTGGCCAATCCCTGAAGAACCACGGGCAGGAGGCCTCCCCACCAGTTTCCGAGGAGGGAGGCAAGGCTCTGTGAGCACCTGCGACCGGGCCCACTCGCAGCACACCCGCCCCGGCCTCCTCACCCTGTCCTATCAACATTCTGCCCATGTTACAGATAAGGAGACAGAGGCTTGCCTAAGGTAACCAGAGGCCCCTGATAGGGCCAGGCTGCTGGAGGTCCCCAGGAAGTCCCAAGGCCCGAGTAGAAGGTGCCTACCGAGAGTCGATGGCCTACCCTGCGCGACCCAGATGGAGGCAGGGCAGGAGGGAGGATGTGTGGGGCTGGGCTCTGTCCACCCCCCATCGGGGCCCTTGGGTCTGGCTTGAAGGAACAGGGGGGTGGGGAGGTGGAAGAGTGAGAGATAAGGGGGAGAATTAGGAGATAAGCAGGCTGAGCTTTGGGCAGAAAGCAAGAGGGGTCACAGTGACCCGGCTGGCCAAGCCCTGGGTGCAGCAGACTCTGTACCCAGACCTCAGACCCCAGGAGTGGGGGCAGCCCTGCCCACGGGGCTGATAGGGGCGGCAGGGCAGAGAGATGCAATATTGGCTAAGCCCTGGTGCCCTGTGCCCTCTGTTTGAGTCCCTACTCAGCCAAATATCCTCCTCCGCCCTGATTTTCTGTTCTGAGAAACTGGAAAAATAAATCCTCCCTCTTTTGGTTAGAGAAGACATATGAGCACAGGGGTGTCCGTTGTGAAAGGCTCTGTGGGCCCAAGGTGGACTCTCCTGCAGATGCTGCCCCAGCTGAGGTTCCCATCTACCCCCAGCCAAACGGACTCTTCACTTGCTCTTCCTCTAGATGGACAGATGGACACATAAAGACACCAAACTCCAAAACACTGCCCACACAGATGAGAGCGCGTGCACACACACACACACACACACACACACACACACACATACCTCTTTTTATTTTCAAAGAAAACCAGAAGGCCCTAGCTGCCAGCCCTCTCCACAGGAAAGCAGGTGGCTAAGAGGCTCACTTAACCAAAGAGGGTGGTTTTCACCTTCCTTAGCTTTCTCCTGAAGCAAAGGTTCCTCCTCTGCCCTCGGACCTCCCTGGCACCCGGGGAACAAGGACATGTGCCATCCTGGCCCTGGGGTCCCTTGCCGGCCTGGCCTGTCTGCCCAGCCACCAGCCGCCCACCCCTCCTGCCGGTCTGCCATCAATCTTCCCGGAGCCTTGACACTTTGCAGCCTGCCCTGGAGAAGGGGTATTTATGGGTGCTGGGCTGACCTCCCTCCCAGCAGGACCCCCCTCCGGAGCCCCCTGGGGTCTGATCCGTCTGGCAGCCGAAGGCCAGCGGGCTCTGTAATTCTCCGGGAGCTGACATGCCACGGGCCGGCCACGGCGCTCTCCCGGCCGAGTGGTCGGCAGGCCATCGTTTGTCAGCCCGGGACTGACAGAGTTACTGCTGTTTAAATGAAACCATATATCTGAGCAGTTCAATCTGTTGCCAGTCGGGGGCCTCCGAGCTGGATGTTGAGGGTGAAGTGATGTCAAGATGGGTCATTAGGCACTCTTGGCCCTCACCTCCCCCTCCCTGATTCCTATCTGGCGTCCTCCCGGCCTGTCCTTCCTGGGAACTGTCCAGGGAGGCTGACTGCCTGGGCCGACACACTGCCCTCCACCGAGCAGAGCCGGAGCGGGGACAGGGGTCTCTGCCACCACGCTGCTCCACAGTTGCTTTCTAAGCCCAGGGCAAGGTGGCCGCGCAGCTTCTCCCAGAGCCCTGGGGCCCAGAGGAGCATGCGGATGGCCTATGCGTTCTCAGCCCTCCCGGCCTGGCCCGAGTACCTCCTGCAAGTAGAGATTACAGGGGACAGCAGCAGAGGGGACAGGAAGGAAAAGAGCTACCCTGCAGCCTACCAAGTGCTCCCGTGTGCTGCGCCTTGTGCGGGACCCCCAGCCCCTCCAGGCTCACTAAGCCCTCGCTACAGGTGCGGGCATGCATTGTGGGCTGATGTCATGTCAACCCCCCGCATTTTATAGACGAGGAAACCACGGCCCAGAGGAGCAGTCCCTTGCCCACAGTCACTCCCGTGGTAGGTGGCAGAGCTGATGGAGCTGGAACTTGAACACAGGCTTCTCCGACCCTGGCCTTTGTTATTAACTTCTCTGTCACTGTCAACTCCAACACACCGCGATTGGGTGAGATGCAAAACAGAGACAGAGGGACATCTAAGCCGGTAGAGAGAATGGAGGAGGAGAACCCCAAGAGGGCATCCGGGCTCACAGCATCTCTGGCAGCTCAGCAAAGACCCCAGGCCCGGCCCTCGGCGGTGAGATGTCATCAGCATCACAGGGGGCTGAGTGGCCTCTAGGGAAAGTTCAGGCTCTGTGGTAGGAGCCTTCCCTGCCCCAGGACGGGGTGGCCCCCCACCAGCCCTGGCTCCTGGTCCAAGCTCTGCTTCTGACCCTGCCAACCTCTCTGGACACAGAGGACCACCTGAAACTCCCTGACACATGACACCTTTTCATATTTCTAGGCCTTTCCCTATGCTGTCCCCCCTTCCTGGAATGTCCTTAACCTTCTCAGACTGCTTTCTGGAAAGGCAGAGATCAAAGAAACCCCTGATTTCCTTAGATAGAGCCATTTGCGCTGCTGCTGGGCCCCACTGGCCCCCTTCCATCGCTCCCAGAGCCCTGGGCGACCTGCATTGGCCTCATCGGTGTGCCTGTCTGTCTCCTCCAATAGCCTGGCTGCCTCCTGGGTCCAATTCATTCCAAGGTCCCCACTGCCCAGCCCAAGTGCCCCACTCTCAGAGCTAGAGAGCTCCCCACTCTGTCTCCCAAGATGTATTCTGCCTGGAGGTGGGGGGTGGGGTTGGTGAATGGTCCCAGAAGGGAGAACAGAGTCACTCAGCACCATTCCCGTTTTTCTGCTTCCCCACCTCTGGCTTTGCAAACAGACACCAGCCAGGGCTTGCCGGACCAGTAGGAAAGAAGTTCCACATGGCTGATGAGGAGGCCCTCTAAGGGCTGGGCTGGTACTTATCTGCAAGGCTCCTTTACAGAGGATGGTGACCATGGTTCATATTCCTGGGCTCGATTCAGAGATTCTGGGAAGGGGAAGCAGGAAGGTTTGGACCACAGAGAAGCCAGAAGCAGGAAAAAACACTCAGCAAAGCTGGGACAAAAGCACTTCCCATCCTGCGTGAAAAACCCCAAGAGACTAGGAAGGCGGCCAGAGGAAGTGCCCTGCCCCTGGATCCAGGGTTCTGGAAAGCCAGGAATGCTCTGCTCCTCCTCCCCTCCACACTGGGGGCTCATGGGAAGTCTGGAGGGGAAGCTGGCAACCAACCCAAGGGTCCTGGGATCCTCATCCCCAACCAGGGCCTCCAGTCAGGAGTGAAAGGCAGATGGGATTGTTCAAGGCCCTGCCTCTCGTCCCATCCATGAGGTTGGCCTAGAGAGGGGGCATGGGTGAGAAGTCCCACCCTGCGGCAGATACAGGGCACATCCCCAGACCCTCCATCGTCGAAGCAGGAATCATCATCACCAACTCTTGACTCCCAGCGTAACCCAGGGCCCAGCCCCACGATGCCTCAAGGGCTCACAGCGCCCACCTTCTGTCTTACCCTGCCCGTGCCCAGCCCAGGCAGGCAGTGCCCCCGGCCCATCCGGCCATATGCCCCTGGAGGAAGCCCAGGCGTCAGTGCTGACAATGCTGCTCAAGGCTGCAGTGGCTCCAGCAGGGAGGGCAGAGGGCCCTGCTGTTTACATCCAGCCCCGGAACAGCCAGGGAGGCCGGCCGGGGAAAGCCAAACAGCGACCAGCCTGGACTAAAGATGGGTCTGTGCCCAGGCCAACGAGGAGGGCTAGGCCATGCCTGGGCTCAGGGGGCCCCAGAGGTTGGCAGAGCACCCCGTTCACAGGGAGCCAGGGCACCAGAGGGGCAGATCCCAGGCCTTGGGCCCTTCAAACCGCCAGGCAGGAGGGCTGGGAAGTTCTTCCCTATCTGGCCTCAGTTTCCCCTGTGGCTTTCTTGCTTACTTTAGCTGCAGGTACTTCAATCCAGGGGAAGGGAAGCCTTGCAAAAAAGGAAGACTGGCTCCTTTGGGAAGATCAGTGACAGGCCCCACAATCCCCCACCTAGTCCCCGCTGCACACACAGACACATGGACACACACACACACGAGACCAACCATCATGCCCAAGAGATGCAGGGACAGCAGGACCTTTCACCTTAGCTGGGAAGGAGGACGTCCACAAACATTCCAAACAGCGAGACACTAAGACCCCCACCTATGACATTTGAGGCTGGCAGGGATTGGTGGCCTCTCCAAATGGGAGGACAGGATCAGTTGTGTCCTCTTCTCAACACCCGGCTGGGGCAGCCAGAGACAGCCTCCAAAAGACTCAGCTAGTCCTTTGGGGGAGCTCAGGGTCTCAGAGGAAGAGAGATAAATGCCTACGGAGACCCTGACCAGATGAGAAAGGAGTAGAGACCTAGAGGGCTGGAGAAACAGAGATGCAGAGAGAGAGCACACCAGGGAGAGAGGGACAAGAGAAAGAGACAGAGGCGGAGATAAAGAAGCACAGTCTGTGACAAATAGAGACTCAAGAAACAGAGAAGAAAAGAGAGCAGGAGGGGTGAGGGAGAGGGAGCGAGGGGCAAGGAAGGCTGTGATGGACCAGAAACACTCCTCAGTGTCCCCAGCAAGGCCTCCCTGTGCCCCAATACTGCCTGCAGCCAGTGGGCAGGACAGCTCCATCCAAGGGGTAACTGGGACTGAGGCTTGGGAGCCAAGAGGACACCCCAGACCCAGCGGCCAGCCAGGCGGGAGGAGGGACTCACCTCCAGCTCCTTGAAGACCATGCACCTGCGTGCCCAGTCCACGATGGAGATGAAGGTCTGGTCAGCCATCCTGCACAGGAGGCTGAAGGGCGCAGGCTGGTCAGGGCGGCCTTTGGCTGGCTCCTGCAGGCAGCCCACAATGCGTGCCCGCACCTGGTCCTCATCTGGCTCCAGCTGCAGCAGCTGCAGGATGAGCTCGGGCACACCAGGCCCTCCGGAGAAGGGCTCTGGGTAGCCATAGGGTGGCCCAGGCTGCGGGGGACTGGCATAGGGCTCTGGGTACTCAGACTTGATGGCACGGCCAGAGAAGGTGGGATAGAGGTAGCCGGCCAGTGGCCCGTGGGTGCTGGGCATGGCCATGGGCAGTGCTGGAGCCCCAAAGTCGCCCAGTGGCCCAGCAGGTGGACCAGAGGCCAGGCCCTTGGGCTCAGGCGCGTGCAGGCCAGGGGACAGCATGTAGTCCGGAGGCGGAGGGGGTGGGGGAGGCACCCCCATTGGGGGGCCTGTCTCCAGCTTAAAGCCATTGGCTCGAATCTGTGCCTTCTTCTGCTGCTTCAGGGCACGGTCTCGTTTGTACATGGGCCCAAACTTGTTCCGGCCACCCCGCATTCGGTCAGCGCGCACAGCTGCGGGCAGAAGCAGAGGGTCAGTCTCAGCCCCCCCAAGCCACCTGCCATAAAGCCACACTCACAGATCTTTCCCAAACTGTGTCACTTCCCCCACTCAGTACCTTCTTATGGCTCCCACTGCCCACAGATGAAGTCAGTCTCCTTAGCCTGGCATTCAAGGCCCTGTTTACCTCCTAGATCACCCTTTAGAAGAGCCCATGTTCTTTCCACGCCACCTTATCTCCCTGCTCCTCCGCTTGGCACATCTCCTTCTTCCTCCACCCCGCCTTTGATATTCTTTCTGCCTCAAACCCTTTCCTTTTCTCATGCCTGCCAAACACCCAGCCCTAGGGTCACCACCTCCAGAAGTGTTCCTGGATTCATCCAGGCAGAATCCACTGTCCTTGCCCCAGATGTCCTGCCTCTTGTCCACTCTCATCCTGCTGAGTGGTATCATGCCATGTGACCCAGGCTGAGAGTTTCTGGGGACTCAGCAACGGGTTCAGGTGCCTAGTACAAGGCCGAGCAGGGAGATGGTGGCAGGAAGCAGGCCCTCGTCACAGCCTTGCTCACAGCATCCAGCCCAGTCCCCGGTGTCCAGATGCTTCTTGACTCACTGCCCGACTCTGTCGAACCCCTACTGCAAAATGACTTGGGCTTTCCCCAGTGCCTTCAAATATGAAGCGGAGTTTAGGGCTGGCCCGGGTTCCGAGCTGGGAGAAGGGACCTCCCTGGCGGACCAGATGTCCCTCCGCCTGGCCAAGAATGTGTCACCAGCCAGACCCAACAGGTGCATCTCTGCAGCTGCAGTGTGGCCCCAGCCCCTGCTCAGACAGGACCCCACCCTGAGCTCTAGGAGAAGGGAGAGAGCAGGAGGGAGAGGGTGGTGCCCAGGAGGGGAGGCGTCCTGGAGGTCTGTTCCGCCGGTCTTCCTGCTGCAGGCGTGGAGAGCTCAGCTCTGCTCCCTCCGCTCCATTACTTGTGACAACTAGCTCCCCTGGCCCGGAAGGACCTGGAGCCAGGGAGATGGGGACATTCCCCTCTCATCTAGGAGTCCTTCCTCTAGGTGGCAGGACTTGGGGTCAGCGGCTCCCAGAGCCACTAGGGGCCTTCTGCACTGTTTAAAACTTTAGCCAACAGCTGCGTGCTCGGCGCACAGCCCGGCTGGGGCCAGCAGGGTGGAAGCCTACGACTGTTCACCCTCAGAAAGTTTGAGGTTTTCCTCCCCTCTGGGCTGAGAGGTGGGAGGATGGGGGTGGGAAGGCGGGGATGGGCCTGGGTCCTCTGGGACCAATTGTCCCCCCTTCCCTCGCCCTCTCAGGGCCCTCCCAAGAACATGGTGGAAGGACTTTCACCCACCAAGCGAACGACCTGAGCGAACTTTTGGATGGCCAAACAGATGGGTGGGCTGGATGAATGACGGCTGTGATGATGGACAGATAATAACATAAACAATGATAATAATGGCAGTTCCTATGTGCTAGGGTTTCACACAATTCCCTCACACTGACTCAAGGAGGAAGACACTATTGTTAGGTCCACTTTTCAGATGGGGAATCCGCAGCTCAGGAGGTTAAGGAAATGGCCCAGGGTCCATCAGCCTGTGCCTGGTGGCACTGGGACTTGAACTCTGTCTCCTAAAGGTATTAAACGCCCTGGCCCCTGCGGATGTTGGGCGTCAGCGGGGGCGTTGTAGGTCTCCTTGCAGAGGGAGGAGGTCTGCCCACCCTCTCGGAGGCTGGAGAGAAGGTCGTCTCCCTGGTGTTCACTTTCGGATACCTCTCGACCCAAGCCCGCTGAGCCTGCCCGCATCCCCTCACCAGGCGGAGCCACTCCTCACCCCTCACCCCGCAGAGATCCGGCCCTCCCGTCACGTGAGGGGCCAACAGGCGGCTCCAGAAACTTGAGGAAGGCCACGGGAGCCCTCCTCTCACCCCTTCCACCCCCCCCCCGCACCCCCGAGCCCCGCTGTCAGGGGTCAGCGGTGGGAGGCCGCCGCGCCTCGCGCCCACCTTCCAGGCGCATCCCCACCGTCAGGCACTTCTGGAAGCGGCAGAAGGGACAGCGCTTGCGCTGCGTCTTGTCGATCTTGCAGCTCTGGCTCTCGGTGCACGTGTAGTGCTTGTTGTTCTGCACCGTGCGCTTGAAGAAGCCCTAGGGGAGAGCGGAATCAGCGCGGGAGGCGGCCAGGCCCCGCGTCCCTGTCCCGGGGCCCGACAGGGCTTGTCCCCGCGTCGCGGCCGCTCGCCCGCCCTCCGAGACCCTAGCCCGGCCGGTCCGCCGCCCGCCGCCCGCTCACCTTGCAGCTCTCGCATGTGAGCAGCCCGTAGTGGTAGCCGGACACCTTGTCCCCGCACACGGGGCACAGCTCATCCAGGTCCTCGTCGTACGAATAGTCCATGCCCGCGGCGTCCGCCTGCGGACGGAGGAGAGGGTCACGGCGGGCGGGACGCGACCGGCAGCGCGGCAGACCCGGGGCCCGCGGGGTCGGCGCCCCCACGG